CCCCTTCAGCGAAGCGGCAGGAGAAATGGAGCCCCTTCCATTTCTCCTGCCACTTTGCTTAAGGGGCGCTACACAGAGAGGGGGAGAATTTTTTTTCTTGTTCTCCCCCTCTAAAACAAGGTGTGTTCTGTGCTGTCAAGGTGCGCTCACTCGAAGCCTCCGGCTACCTTGGAAGCCTGGAGAGCGAGAGCGAGAGCGAGAGCGGTCGCTGTGCACTGACCCCTCTCGCTCTCCAGGCTTCAGTGAAGGCAACCTGAAGCCTCAGGAGCGCAGAGGGAGCACTCACTCTGCTCTTCGGAGGCTTTGCGTTGCTATCGCTGAAGCCAAGGAGCCTGCATTCGCTCCATAGGACGCACACACATTTCCCTTTCAATTTTTGGAGGGGAAAAGGTGCGTCCTATAGAGCGAAAAATACGGTACCTTTGTTACTCAATAAAAAATATTTTTAAAAATGTTGCTTTTGTTACTCAACCATTACATTCCAAATCAACAAAACTACTGTATTGACTTCCCAGCTCACCCAAAATCAATGTTTATAACTCAAATTACATACAATTGTGTTTCATGGTTCTGTCTTATCTAATTTCATCCTCTCTAACAAGTCTCTTGATATACTCTGCTGTTTTCTTACACTTCAAACCCCGCTGTGGTTTTTGCTTATGGGAAATAACTTTTTATATGGGCTAGAAATGGTTTCCAGCCTTCTTTAAAAGACTCTGAATTTGTATCTTTTGTCAGTGCCATCCATTTCGCCATCTCTGCATATTGCAAGATTTTCACCAACCATTCTTCTTTTGAGGGTGTTCTCGCCTCCTTCCATTTCTGAGCATAGAGAATCCTTGCCATTGTAGTCACAAATATAAATACTGTTGAGGTTTTCTTTGGGATTTCACTGTCTAGCAACCCTAGGAAGAAATATTCTGGCCTCTTGGGAAAAGTCACTTACTTCCCCCCCTTAATTTCATTAATGACAAGGGCTGTTGCTGATACCTACCCTGCTGTCCATTTTTATCTCCTGCCCACTGGCCTGGCCCTCCAAGAATCACCGGAAAGCTCAGTCTAGTTCAGGGGTAAGGAGCCTTTCTCACACCAAGGGCCACATTCCCATTTGAACAACCTTCTGAGGGCCACATGCCAGAGATGGGTGGGGCCAGAGGCAAAAGTGGGTGGAGCAACCAATTTATTAAAAAAAAAATTGTACAGTAGTGCATAGTTTCTACACACACTCCTCCCAACCGTCTATCCAGAGAAGCTGGAACCATTATCACAGTTCAAGGAGACGTACCAGATAGGCAGAAATGCCTAGGATGAGAAGCAATGTGTTCTACGTGGGGCTACCTTTGAAGGTGACTCGGAAACTACAACTAATCCAGAATGTGGCAGCTAGACTGGTGATCAGGAGTGGCCACCGGGACAATGTAACACCAATCCCAAAGGATCTACATTGGCTCCCAGTATGTTTCCAAGCACAATTCAAAGTGTTGGTGCTGACCTTGAAAGCCCTAAACGGCCTCGGCCCAGTATACCTGAAGGAATGTCTCCACACCCATCATTCAGCCCGGACACTGAGGTCCAGCGCCGAGGGCCTTCTGTCGGTTCCCTCCATGTGAGAAGTGAGGTTACAGGGAACCAGCCAGAGGGCCTTCTTGGTAGTGGCGCCCTGCCCTGTGGAACAGCCTCCCATCAGATGTCAAGCAGATAAACAACTATTTGTCTTTTAGAGGACACCTGATGTCAGCCCTGTTCAGGGAAGTTTTTAGTGGCTGATATTGTATTGTGTTTTTAATATTTTGTTGGGAGCTGTCCAGAGTGGCAGGGGCAACCCAATCAGAAATAAGAAAGAAGAAGAAGAAGAAGAAGAAGAAGAAGAAGAAGAAGAAGAAGAAGAAGAAGAGTCAAGTGAAGAATGTGTCCTGAGGAGAGGGAATGCGACCTGGGGAGAGGCCTAACACTCCACACCCCTGTTTTATTACATCTTCACATTTGGACATTTTTAGAATCAGTACTTTCTCACTTCCATTTGCCACCACTGTCCCAGGAAATATTAATATTCAGCTCAGATGTGTACTACATGTGATCTTTGCAGATGCCTAATATAAACCTGTGACATGTTATTGTGGTACTGCGTTGACCTTTTCATTATGCTGCATTTCAACCGACAGTCCGTTCCTTTTTCTCTTCCGCATAGTTAAGGAAGTGACAAGGAGAAAGGACAGTCAAATGCATTTGCAAAATGTTTAAAGGCTCAGATTATCATAACCTAAAGCAATACGAAATTTATTCATCTTTTACTAAGAGCTGGGGGTTTTTTGTTTAAGTCACCAGACCAATCCTTCAAACAGTTCCCATTCCGTTCATCAGCAAGCTATTAAATACCTGGAAGATCCAAAAATCTTTCCAAAAATTGCATAGTGTTAAAAGTAGGAGTGAGGAACCTGTTTTAGCCTGAGCTCTGCCTTCCTTAGTGGGCAACTATCTGGAGGCTGTTTGCCAGTGTTGGGAAGAGGGGAAGGAACAAAAGAGGTGACTTTTGCCCTTGTACATTCCAGCCTTGCAAAAGTCAGGTGTTTCTTTCTACATGCAGATAAATGCCTTTCCATCCTATCCTTCCATCCAGGAATCATCAAAAGACACATTGCAACCAGGCAAAAGCATGCACGGATGTTATTGGCCCAGAAATGGAAAGAAGATAAAGTCCCGACCAGAGAAGAATGGCAGATCAAGTTGATGGATTGTGCCAAAATGGCCAAAATGACTGGAAGAATCAGAAATCAGGAAGACCAAAATTTTAATAAGCAATGGGGGAAATTTATAACTTAACAAATTTTATAACAAATTAAAAACACTTAATTGTAGAAGCAGGATAAAATACAGTATAAAAACATGAATAAAAATAAAATTCAAAGTTCAGAAACCAATTTGGGGGAAATCCATCAAATAAGCATTAGATAGTCACCAGGGCTATCTAGTGAGGAGGCCAGGGGAGAATTAGCTGTGGGATTCCAGAGCGGGTAACCTTCATAAAAGGGGAGAGAGAGGGAAGAGAAGGGAAATGAAAGATCAAGCTGAATTCAAATTAAAGGCCAGGCAGAATAGCTCTGTCTTACAGGCCCGACAGAAGGAGGTTAAATCTTGCAGGGCACTAGTCTCATGGGACAGAGCATTCCACCAGGTCGGAGCCATCACTGAAAAGGCCCTGGTCCTGGTGGAGAATAGTCTGACTTCCTTAGGGCCCGGGACCTCTAAACTATGGTTATTCATGGACCTTAAGGTCCTCTGCGGGGCATACCAGGAGAGGCGGTCCCGTAAATACAAGGGCCCTAAGCCACAAAGGGCTTTAAAGGTCAAAAGACATACTGCCACAATAAGACCCATGATGGTATAGTTAATGGATGGTGGAGTTGGGCTACGAGGTTGGGGTTCAAATGCCCACTCACCCATAAAGGTCACTAAGTAACTTTGGCCTCTGGGCTCTCTCAAACTGGTCCACTTCACAAGGGATCTCCAACACATGTCACACTGAAGTAATTGGGGAAAGGGCAGCTTGTCCAAGACTTCCCCCACCCAATCAGGGGTGGCCCATCCCATATTGGTATCTGAGGCAAAACAGGAAGATGCCACCCTTCTCCACACACACACTGCCTAAGCCTTGCTTACTCGGGTTGCACAGTAGCAGCTTCCAGCGAGATCTTGCAAAACCATGCCAGAAGCAGTGATGGTAGCAGGGGTGTGTGGGGCACCCACAGGGGCATTGCCCCATAGGATTCCACCACCCAAAGCAGGATGCTTCACTCCACCTCATAGGCCCTAGGTACTGTGGGTGGGAAAGTAGCAAGTACGTTGAGTGATTCTCTATAGTGAGAGTTTCACTGAGAATAGGTTGCAAGAGCGACACTGAGCAAATTAAACTTCATGGCTGCATATTTCAGGATGCTGCAATCACCACACCCACCATTCACTGTTCTCTTTCATCATTTAATGGAGCTTTAAAAATCCATTGTTCTTCAAGAAGACCCAATTTCCCAGACAAAAGAGAACAACTCTAATGAGCACAAGATAAAGATCAAAGAGATGGCGGAAGGGGGAGGGCACCTCATGCTAATGACTTAAGAACTAGGGTATGTTAGGAGTTAGTCACGTAAGGGGGAAATGGATGGACAAGATTGAGAACTTCATAAAATGCAATGGAACAGGTATACCAACTGTAGAACTTAAACACCTAAAATCCTTGATTATCACACAATGCATATTTTTCTTCCTCTCCTCGAGGTGTTGTATTGCCCAAAGAGTGTTTGAGATACCGTTTGCCAATGTAAAAGCACTGAAAGGCAGGCTCACAGTGTGTGCAGAATGTGAGGCCTGCAAGTTCAGAATTGACCTGTGGAATCCATAAGACAACAATGTGTAGTCACCACGTCATGAAGGAGCCATATATCCTTGAGAACACTACATTCTTACACCCACTCTCTGATATAAAGATACTTAATTGCACACTGAAGCAATAGGAAGGTACATACACAGTCTATATCAGCGCTGGGGAACCTGTGGTCCTTCAGGTTTTGTTAGACTACAGGTCCCATCATTCTTGACCACTGCCTGGGTTGATGAGAATTGGAGTCCAACAGAGAAATCGGAGACGCCACAGCATCCTCATCTCTGCTGTATATCGCTTGCTAACCATCAAAGATTTAACTACCACTGCTACCTTCCAAACCAGGCCTAGGAATTAGCTTGCCTTTTTTGATAGCCACTTTTAATTCACCTGGCTTCCTGGTCAAAACATTTCCTTCCTAACTGGGTGCAAAAATGTCACACTGAGAGACAAATGAGAAACAAAACCAGCCACCACATGCGCAACTTCCCTCAAAAGGTATCTGCAGGGGCTAAATCCATGCAGGTCTAAACAGGAAGAACCAAACCAACTTGCCGGCACTAAACACAGTTGTTTTTTAAAAAAAACAAAACAAAACAAAAGAAACAAAAAACTGATGTCCACTTACCAGTTTCCCTCGAGATCTGTGTGAATGCTTCGACACCACTCTCTCCATAGTTCCCCTCTGAAGCCAGTGTCGAAACATAGTTCCATCCAAGTGCTGTCACAATATCAACCATGGCTTGGGCTTGATAAGAGTCAGGTGGGACCACCCGGGAGAAAAAGTCATACCTGGTGTTATCACTTAACTCTGGTGCTGTAGATGCATAGCTGATTTGAGGTATCTGCAGGGGGAGGAACAGAACAAAGGTAGTTTTTACATCTCTGAAGCGTAAATTACAAGCCAAGTGTGATCTCCAATGTAAGTCATCCACAAAGGAAGTGCCTTGATTTCAACAGGTCTACTCTGGGTATCCCCTTCATGGATCACTGCCTTGTCGTGGCGAAGGGGATTGAATAACTCCAAGAAACTATTAGCTACGCCATGCAGGGCCACCCAAGACGGACAGGTCATTAGCCGAGAGTTTGGACTAAATGTGATCCACCTGGAGAAGGAACTGGCAACCCACTCCAGTATTTTGCCATGAAAACTCCATGGACATAAAATAGAAGTTTTGAGAAGAAAGTGAGAGTTTCCAAGGCATGCTCTGGTTCATGGGTTCACGGGGAGTCGAACACGACTAAGACGGCTAAACAACAAACAACTCAGGGTATAAGGTAAAGGTAGAAGACTCCTGGACGGTTAAGTCCAGTCAGACTTCATTATGGGGTGTGGCACCCAGCTCCTGCCAACCTAGCAGTTCGAAAGCATACCAACATAAGTAGACAAATAGGTACCACTGTGGCAGGAAGGTAAACAGCGTTTCTGTGCACCCTGGCACTCATCATGGTGTCCCGTTGTGCCAGAAGTTTAGTCATGCTGGCCACATGACCCAGAAAGTCTAACTAACATTGAAAATCTGCTTTAACTAAAGTAAGCGATCAAAACTAAGCTGCAAATTATCAGCAAACCTTTTGAGGCACAAATACCAATAATAAACCTGTGATTTTATGGATACTCATCAACAGATATGCAAACAGTTTTTCCCCATACGAAGTATCTTTTTATAATATACAAGAATAAAATAAATATTTTTAAAATCTAATCTAAAAAGAAACGGGAGCAAAGACAAGGGAGATGGAGAAAAGAAACAGAAGAAAGAAAAAGAAAATTTGAAAGGGGGGGAGGATGAAAAGACTTCTGATTCCCTGTCTGTCAGCTAAATATAGTAACTTGTTCAAAGTATTCACTCAAATTGACAACCAACTATTTTCTAAAAGCCAATATTATTTCAATCTTCAAATCCAGATATTACAAGTTAATTTTCTTTTTCATAGGAAGTGTTTCAGATATTCAATAACTGAGGTTTATTCATTTCAGTGGTTTATTCATTTCAGCCTACTCTGAAATCTGGGTAGGACTTAGTTAGGAAGGCTGCTTTATACCAAGTAATATCTGTTGGCCCATTTAGCTTAGTTTTGTCCGCACTGACTGCCTTGCCAGGATTTCAGACTCGGTTCTCTCTCAGTCCTACCTGGAGATGCAAGAGAACTGAACCTGGGGTGTTGTGCATGAAAAACAGATGAATACAACCCAAGGTGCACATGTTTCTAAAGACAAAAAAAAAGTGTTCCAAAGCTTGATTATTCCAAAGAGGAACCAGATCAAAAATTTGTATGCAGGGTCATCCAAAACATGGATATTATTTCACTCCTCCATGTTCTTTTTCTTAAAAAAAACCCAAAACAGCTGGAAAACCCTGCATTCCTCCAAATTTAATATGATTTCTATATTGTTTCCAAAGAGAATGACTAAGTACATTTCAAGAAGGGTTCTTGGGGTTTTTTGTCAATAATGTGTGCTGTCGGTAATGCTACTAAATAAAAATTACAACTTAAAAATTATGACTTTTGCTCGGAGCTGTAAATTTTATGAGTTTATCTTGACAGTAACAGTCCTATAAACCCCTGTAAAATATTCCAGTACATTAATCATAAACCTATGTCAATCAAGGAACCCATGAAAGTGTAACTGAGCACTGTCCAAACTGAGCAGCGTCCATAACTGAAATATATCAAACCTATACATGGTTCTTGATTTCTGGACCCCATAGTGCAGAACAAGGCTGGGGCACGTCTGACCTGACAGTTGAATTACAAAGCCCTTCTCACACACACCCTCAAACCATGTCCACCTGCCCGACCCCCGTATCACATGGGAAGTCAGGCGTGATGCAGGTAAAAGTTGTGAGACCATCACTTTGAGGTTTGTTTGTATTTAAACTACTTTCCAAAGGCAAAGCCCAGTCACCTGATGTGATAATGACATCAGATGATTGGCAGGTGGGAAGCCTCATACAAATGTAAAGGTTGACATTCATGAGGGGAGGAGGTTGAGATCTGGCCTCACTCTAGTATAGAACCTGAAAAGCCACAGGAAAGAAACCAGAGGCTAACATGCTACTAAACCCAAAGACTTTGTAATATTTTTCGCGCATTCACGTTTGTTCACTACCAAGGGAAGGCAATAAAGTTTCTCCCGTTGGCTAGAAAGGAAACACCCGTTCCAAACCAGCCAGGTGCGCAATTGCCCTAACATCTCCATAAGGCCTACTTAACTGTGTCACAACAAGGGAAAATAATAGGAGCAGAAATGTACTTTAGTAAGTCTGGTAGTCCCACACCTGCCATTGACATTGCGTGACCTTAATCAAATCTTTCCTTTAGTGACTCATTTGTTTTCAATGCCCTTCTAAGGTCTAGTTTACTGTGTCAGCTGTTGTTGGGAGATGATTGTGAAGGGCATCAGGAGTCTACATTTTTTAAAAAATATAGGATGCTCTCAAAGACCCGTACTACCCACATTAAAAGCATGGGGTGGGAATCCATCATTAAAGAAAAGTCATTTTAGGCTATCTCCTTAAGCCACAAATAAAGATTCCTCCAGTTCAAACATTGGATTATTACTTTATAGATACCAGCACCGAAACCTTGACATTTTTAGACTTCCGAATGTGACATTTTTCCAAAGGAAGCAAAATTGCCCCCTAAACGCTAATTTCTGTCACGCTGGTTTCTCAGCATGTCACCCTGCAGTTCCTCAGGGGATGCTGCTGTCTGGAATGCTAGCCTGGCGACAATGGTCACAGCATCCATAGAAGCTTATCTCTGGAGTTTTCATAATGGTTTCCTTGTTACAGAGGATGAGGCTCGGATGAATGGCTCCCTTTTCATTCAGACTCAGACTTGACTAAGAACCACAGGTCCACGCAAATCCCCGCAAATAGGCCTGAATCAGGTGCCTTATAGGGCCAATAATGTCCCATGCATATTCATTAGCCCACATGCCAAATGTTTTAAAACTTCCATCAAATGTCCTTGACCTTGTAAGAAGCTGTTGCAGGCGAAGGCCTGTGAGCAACGTCATTGGTGGGGTGTTTCTAGGACTAAGGTGAAACCTTGAAGTCCCCTTGTTATTTTTGCCACTAGATGCTGCATGCTGTTTAAATATTCCTAACAGTTGAAAATTCCTATTGGCTGTTTGCTAGAACCAATTCATAAAAGATACACCCATTTCCTATTACCTTTTATGGGAGACAAAGAGCTATATTTCCTTCTATCCATAAATGGCAGACAAGTAGCCATATATCTTACATTTGCCTCGACAAGGCACCTTAATTAACATTTCACCTTTTGCCCTAGACAAGGCACCTTAATTAACATTTCAACCTTTTGCCCTATTGCCCTATTACCCTTTACTCCAAAACAGATGGCTAAAACAGATGGCTCATGGTAACAGAGATCTTGGGTTCACATTCTCACACACCATCAATGAAATAAGAATCTAACATAAGAATCTAACATTTCTTACTTTCTAAATCCTTTGGCATAATTACATTTAGCCAATAAATGTCATACATTAACATAGCTTTTTAGAAGAAAAGGCCTTTTCAAAGTAAAAAGGAAACAGCTTCAAAAAGAAGCCTCTTCAGTTTACAACCCCCCTTTCCTCAGCCAGCTGCTTTTCCCATTAGCTCTTGCCCTTTAACCTTAGGAAGATCTGGCTAGAGTCTGATGGGAGGCACATGGTATTATTTTCTGTTAAACAATAAATTTCACTATTTACCAACTCTTAATTAGTTTTTTTGCAGCTTGATTGTATTCTGTAATATGTATGGTCAGTATGACCTTTGCTCCCAGCCTGTAATTCCCTTTTACAACTTTGAGGTACTGCTATAAATCAGGGGGGCCCTGTTCAGGAGGATAAACAACTGCCAAAGTACTTAACCAGCTGCTTTATGCCCTGGCATGAAACATACAAGCATTTGCAAATATATCTTTAAGCTCATTTTAAAATACAGGCCTTGATCAGATGCCTCAAAACTACAGTTCCCAAGATACTTTGGAGCGAAGCCATGTTTGTTAAAGTGGTCATAGAGATCATAGAATTGGTCTGAGGACCATCTAGTCCATGGGTAGGCAAACTAAGGCCCAGTCACCTTCTCAATCTGGCCCACGGATGGTCCGGGAATCAGCATGTTTTACATGAGTAGAATGTGTGCTTTTATTTAAAATGCATCTCTGCGTTATTTGTGGGGCATTTTTTCCGCCAAATATAGTCCGGCCCCCGACAAGGTCTGAGGGACAGTGGACTGGCCCCCTGCTGAAAAAGTTTGCTGACCCCTGATTCTAGTCCAACCCCCTGCAATGCAGGAATATGCAGCTGTCCCATACCATGATTGAACCTTCAACCTTGGCGTTATCAGCACCATGCTCTAACCAACTGAGCTATCTAGGCCAATATATGAGTGCTTTTAATGTATGGCGTGAATGTGGCCTTGTATTCCTTATGATAGTGAAACTGAACCCAAAACATTGACAGAAAATAAGAGTGGCTCAGAAACAGAATAGATTAAAAAATAATAATGCATTGATACAGATTCAAAGTGAATCTTGGGGCTGTGTACACCCCGAGTATACTGTAACACAGGCATTAAATGCACATAGAGGTGAGAAGATGGCCTGATAGACGTTCCCCTATGTGCATTTGGCATAATGTCTATAAAAGCCTAGGTAAAGGGACCCCTGACCATTAGGTCCAGTTGTGGCCGACTCTGGGGTTGCGGCATGCATCTCGCTTTATTGGCCAAGGGAGCCGGCATACAGCTTCCGGGTCATGTGGCCAGCATGACTAAGCTGCTTCTGGCGAACCAGAGCAGCGTACGGAAATGCTGTTTACCTTCCC